GTACTGGGTACCTTCCCAGGAGTACTGGGTACCCCTGTACCCGACCTGCAGCGAGATAGTGACCGACCTGAATTTTTAAATCGTCGGGAGTTAATTGATGAGGCTGTGACATCCTTGAATACTCTAAAATTATATGTTGGCAAGTATGATAAAAATTTTATTCAACCCCCTGAAACTGATAAAAAAATTCTTCCTTCTACTTTGCAGGCCCCGGAGCTTGAAATGAAATCCTTGCCGAGCCATTTGAAATACGTTTACTTGGGAGACGATCGAACACTCCCGGTGATAGTATCGTCTAAGCTGAAACCTGACCAAGAGGCAGCCCTAATTGACGTGTTGAGAAATTACAAACGAGCAATTGGATGGACCATTGCCGATTTGCGAGGGATAAGCCCGTCCGTATGCATGCATCGTATTCTCCTCGAGGAGGACGCTAAACCATCTCGCGAGGCGCAGCGAAGTCTGAATCCTCCCATGATGGAGGTGGTGAAGAATGAAATCATTAAGTTGTTGGATGTGGGAGTCATTTATCCGATCTCTGATAGTCGTTGGGTGAGCCCGACACAAGTGGTCCCAAAGAAGTCGGGTGTGACTGTAATCGAGAACCAGGTAGGTGAGTTGGTTCCCACTCGTGTACAGACCGGGTGGAGGGTATGCATCGACTATCGTAAGTTAAATGCCATGACTCGTAAGGATCACTTCCCTTTACCTTTTATTGATCAGATGTTAGAACGGTTAGCAGGTTACTCTTACTATTACTTTTTAGATGGCTATTCAGGTTATTTTCAGATTCTCATTGCACCCGAGGATCAGGAGAAAACCACATTTACATGCCCATTCGGGACATTCGCGTACAGACGCATGCCATTCGGATTATGCAACGCACCGGCCACGTTTCAAAGGTGCATGGTGAGCATCTTTTAAGAATACGTTGGCAATATAATTGAGGTATTTATGGATGACTTTAGTGTCTATGGTGCGTCTTTTAATTCGGGCCTCGAGAACCTTGCTTTGATCTTAAAACGGTGTACAGAAACGAATCTTGTTCTTAATTGGGAAAAATGTCATTTTATGGTAGAACAAGGTATTGTTTTAGGACACATTGTTTCTAAGCGAGGTATTGAAGTTGATAAGTCCAAGGTCGATATTATTACTGCTTTGCCTTACCCCGCAAGCGTGCGGGAAGTGCGTTCTTTTCTTGGCCATGCAGGATTTTATCGTCGGTTTATTAAGGATTTCTCGAAGATAGCAGCCCCTTTGTGCTCGTTGCTGCAAAAA